ATATGTATATATATGCGTGTGTGACTGTGGATATATGTCTGTATATATGTGTGTTAATTTATGTGTATATGTATGTGTCGGTATGTCTGTGTGTATATGTATGTATATATATATATATATATGTGTGTGTGAATGTATGTCTGTGTGTATATATGTGTATGCATGCATGTATGTGTGTGAATGTGTGTGTATGTATGTGTATACTTGGGAAGATAAAAATCATTTGAAAGAGAATTCTGGAATTTTCTGTATGTGTGTGTGTGTGTGTGTGTGTATATATATATATATATATATATATATACACACATACACATGCACACACATACTTGCATTTACCAAACAATGCTGAGAATATGATGGACAGAACATGTGAGCAATGAGTAACTTTTAAAGAAAATAAAAAGTACAAATAAGCTTATGCATATAATCAGAAAAATGATGACTGAAACTTCTGGGACACATAATGAGGAAAGTAGGTTTGGAGAATCTAATACTCACATGACATACTGAAAGTCAGGGAAGCTGGGAAACTAAAATTAACAGTTGACAAGCTTGTGTGAATGAATGGCAGACCAAAAACACAGAATGATAGTAAAGAGTCAGAAACTAATTAGAGCAGCAAGAGACAGGAAGATGTGGAGAACCGTGATTGCATACATCTTGATGCACTACACAAGAAATCGTATTTTTATTTCACTGAAAATGTAATATTAAATAGTCGATAAGAGATTTTTCCATCGTTTTATTTGAATTGAAGACTGTCGATTTCAACATCATCATTACCACCCATCAAGAACAACACCCTCACATAAATTATTGTTTAATGAATGTTGATTATTGCAACAACTGAAAATTCCTGGTTATTAAATAGTTCATTGAAAATCTCTCTCTCTCCTCTCTCTCTGTCTATACATAAATATATATATATATATATATATACACATACATTATATATATATATATATATATATAAAATCAAACATTGAAGTCAACACTCAGAGGCAACAGACTGTTTCATGCTAGACACAATAACCAGGCCTGATGATTGCATCTGGCATGAAACAGTCTATCGACTGAGTGTTTGACTTCAATGTTCACTTTTATATTTGCATACGCTCTATCTCTGATATTGAGCACTTTATCCCATAAATATGACACACCTTAAAACTATATTTCTTCATATATATATATAATATATATATATATATATATATATATATATATATATGAGTTGACTAACATTTTGAAACTTACCATCTCTGGTTATCTACCTTGAACTGGGAATTCTTGTTTAAAAAACATCATAACTACAATGGTTAATTTAGAAATAATTACAGCAGAGTGCATTTGCATTTGTTTGCAAAATCACTATTAAAATGATTACAGTTACATTAAGTTTATCTTTGCAATTTATGCCTGGGGATAATCTCAGAGGAGATCGAAAGTAACAAAAAATATGCCTTCCTTGTTGAATTTCAACATCCCTTCCCCATTGTAGATATGTATATACATTTGTACCAAAAGCGTCTTTTTCAGACATGATCAAATAAGCACATCCAAAGCATAACATTCAAAAACCAGCTACAGACATTTTTATATGTTGATCTTGATTCATTTTATACTCTGTTGAGCTTGAAATGTGTCAAATTGTCAAATCATACGTCTGGTAGAGGTGTTAGCCACCACTCAGGTACTTTATTAAAAACAAAAGTACTTTATTAAAAACGAATAAAAATTCTGCCTGAAAATGAAACATTTTTTCCAAAATAACTGGCAGGGATGGGTTTAAATTCTTGTACTTGCTTGATTTTGGTTTCTCCAATTTCTAATATGCATGTCATGTGAAATCAGTAGCTGTAGATATGTCAGTTTCTTCAATCTCAAACATTTTATATCCTAACTTTTAAATTTATTATCATTTGTAAACACTTGGCTTTTTCAGAATCAGAAATCAGGGAATGCTTGCATCTCCTCTAGATACTGTAATTTTGGTATGCATCCAGGGATCATTTTTTATTTAACACCTGCAGTGTTCAGTCCTTAGATGCAAAATTTCCTTAGACACAAACCTCACTGAATCTATTATGTTTTAATGGACTGAGTAGCCATGGTGTAGTTAAAATAATGAGTTGGGCTGGTTTCCATTTGCTATGCAACCATGACACTAAAATGATGAGTGTTTTATGATAATCAGATGGTTATTACATATTTTATTCAGCTGATGAAATTCACTGTGCTTGTCACAATTTCAATTATTTGCTAATAAATACATATTTGATATTTTATGTTTTCAGCCCATCTCTCTGTTTTATACTTTTTATATATTTCTTCCCTACTGGTCAACTGGATTAATACTGACTTTTTATGACCATCCTAGTTAAATGGTAATGATAGTGAGTGCTAGACAATCTCTTCAAAGATGAAGAAGATACTTGAAGAAACAGAAATGTGGTTCTACAGAATGATGCTGTGTATACCATGATCTGAACATGTGAGTGACGACAAAGCTTTAGAGAAAATGAAAACATACTTAACAGCAGGAAGAGACAGTTGAGGTTTCTCGGGCATGTAATGAGGAAGGAGAACTTGGATAATCTGATACTTACAGGACAGATTGAAGACAAGAAAGATAGAGGAAAATATCTCATAACATAACTAGTGAGCTTGAGTAAATGGATGGTGAAACATAGTTGAGGTGAAAGAATAGGAAGTTGTGAAAAGCCATGATTGCCAATATCCTGAGGTGACATGGCACATAAAGAATGAATATTAGCTGTTTCCTTATGAGGAAACATTTGGTATTCATTGACAGCCAATACTACTTTCGGTTAAAATTTATAAAATTTCTCTCTTAAAACAATTTTTCAGGAAAATAGGTTTCTCAAATCGAAAAGGTATTGATTGGGGGATTCCTTCCTAACTTTTGCTTGAATTAGTGTGGACAATCAACATTTTGATTGTCATTATTTTCTCTTCAAGTTGCATTTTAGTTGTTGCAGCTGATGAAAATCATCAATGATGTGGTTTCTGTTATTTTGTACAGTTCTTTGGGATTCTGTAGCGCCAGTCTACCAGGTCCGAAGAAGGATGGTCTTTGCTAAGACCTGCTAATTTGGCTTATCTTGAGCTCAGTGCAAAGTTGTGTTGATATTGACTTTATATAACATAGAAAGATAGTGTGCATGTACGTAAATTCCTTTTGTTTATATTTTATATGTCAAGATGCATAGCATAATGGTTATAGCCAGGGAAAATATCATTAAATTATAATTATGATAGTAATGAAAAAATGGCAAACATGGACCTTCACATGTGCAAAAAAACAGTGTCAAATGAATTGTTTTTCCCCATGACACAGCCTTTATTTTAACAACCTTCACTCTTTAGCAATGTTTATCATTTTAAAAAGCAATAATTAGAATTTAAAGAAACTCTAAACATGTGATGAAAGTGAATTTATACATGTTTTTGTTCTTGAGAATTTACAACAAAAATATTAAATACTGTTTATTAGATTGCTTATTTACAAGAATGATTTTTATATTTAGAACATTCTAAAAACTTATACAATTAAAACTAATGCAATGTAATATTTATCATTTACCAGTTTAGAAGTAAATAAATATGAAAAAAAATTTTATTCACATATTTATAAACATTTATTAAAGTATTAAAATATGGGGACCAATTATAAGTAAATCCTTATTATTTAACATTTATAAATATAATAAACAAATAGTGTAAATAGACATTCTAATAAATAAATAGTGTTTACTATTAATAAATAATGTTTACTGAATTATTGCAAATTCTCAAGATCAAAGAAAAATGTATAACTTCACTTTCATAAGTTTAGGTTTTATCACAATTCTAATCATTGCTTTTTAAAACAATAAACATTGCTGAGGAGTGAAGGTAGTTAAATAATTGTGGTGTGAATAAAAAAACTGATAAACCATTTTTTGAGGGCATGAAGATTCATGTTTGCCAAAAAAATGAAGAAAATAACATTTAGCAAAAAGTAACTATAAAAATATAAAATTTATCTCTCTGTTTTTGTGTAATACAAATAATTTTTATTTTATAAGTGATTAGGTATCAAAGGTACTTTGATATTTTATAGAAATTGGATATTGAATAAAAAAAAATAAATTACTGAAAGATCTTATTTATGTGCCATGTACCCTCAGAAACTTCCTGTCTCTTGTCACTCATAATAAATTTTGTCTTTCTGTTATTTCTCCTAAACCCTGTTTTACCATCCATTTACTCCAGCTTGCTAATCATTATGCATTCTTTTCTTCTGTCTCTTTGTTGCTTCAAGTGTCTTCTTCATCTTTGAGGAGATTGTGCAGCACTCACTGCAATACAGGAGGACAGATATAACATAATTTAGTATTCTTTTCCTTGTTTCTGGTGAAGTTTTTCTATTTCTTAGTACTCTGCTTAGCTTTTGGAAGTCATCTTTGGCTATCCCAATATGCCTTTGGATTTCAGTGTCACACTCTCCATCCTCTGCTAAAACACTTCCCAGATATTTAAATTTTTTGTACTTGATTTTGGTATCTCCAATTTGTAATTTGCATTTTGTGCTGCCCCTTTTGCTAATAACCATGCATTCTGTCTCTTCTTGATGGTAAGTATAAGTTTTCTTCTTGTTTCCATTTTCTCTAAAACTTCAGTCTATCATATCCTGAGCATCCTTGTTTCTAGTAAAGTTTTTCTATTTCTTAGTATTTTGCTTAGCTTTTGGAAGGCATCTTTGGCTAACTCAGTACCTTTTCAGACCTTAGTGTCACACCTTCCCTTGTCTGTTAAAGCACTTTCTGCACTTGTTTGTTTTTGATATCTCTGATTTGCAATTCCCATGTTGGGCTCAACCTTTTGCTAATAACCATGCATTCTCTCTTTTAGTCATTTGTAAAAGCATTTGACATTAAATTGCCATGATCTCACATATTTTTTTTTTTTATCTTTCTTTTGTTTTTTGTTTTTTTCAGATCTGCTGTAACTGACTGTTTAGATTGAATGGATTTTGTGTTTGTCTTTGGTGAAGGCCCAAGCTGAAAATGTTTGTATCTATATATTTACTACTGTCTATCCTACACCTGTGTCTGTGCGTGGACCTCACCTACTACGTGGAAGAAGGAAAAAGTCCAAATACCCTTGTGGGTGACATAGCTGCTGATTCTCATTTGATGGACAGTGTCTCTATGCAAGACCGCAACTTGATCCGATTCAGCCAACTTGGGGAGAGTGTCCAGTTGTTTCGCATTGCAAAAAAAACAGGCAAACTGTACACCTCTCAAACTCTTGATGTAGAAACTCTTTGTAGAAACAACAAAGAATGCTTCCAGATGATCAAAGTTGCAGTCCGCCGTTCAAAGACCTACATGAGAATTCTTAAAGTTAAAGTGATCATACAAGACATTAATGACCATCAACCAGAGTTCCCCGAAAAAAAGGTTGAAATTGAATTTTCCGAAGGGGATGCAACAGGGATGAGAAAATCAATACCGCATGCTATTGACAAAGATGTTGGTGTTGTAAATTCAGAGATTACCTATCAACTGGAAAAGAATATGAATGAACCATTCGCTTTATCAGTCTCTAAAAGTCTGGATGGTATATCAAAACTTAGCATTGTCTTAGAGGAGAGACTTGACCGAGAGGTTCAGGATTCTTATCTCATTCAAGTGATTGCCAAAGATGGTGGATCTCCACCCAAACAAAGTGTTCTTGATGTTCACATTTCTGTTACGGATGTCAATGATAATACTCCTGTTTTCTCACAGGATGTCTACAATGTTTCTATAAGATACGAACATGATCTAGCAACTCCAGTTGCAATTTTATCAGCTGTAGACTCTGATTCTGGTAAAAATAGCAAGATTTCTTTTCAGTTTAGTTCCAAGACATCTGACCTTGCCAAAACACATTTCAAACTGAATGAAGATACCGGAGAAATTTTCTTACATAAAATGTTTTCATCGGGACAAAAGCTAACTTATAAATTATACGTTGAAGCCACAGATGGAGGCATACCTCCACTGAGTTCAGTTGCAATGGTTCTGGTCAATATAATCAACCAACAGAACAATGCACCGAGCATTGATGTAAACTTCCTTTCAGCATCTTCCAAGAATGCAGCAGCTATTTATGAGGATGTTGGCGTTGGCAGCTTCATTGCCTATGTGATGGTCACTGATTCCGATTTTGGACCAAACGGGGAGGTAAGTTGTGACCTCTTCAATGAAAAATTCCAACTTTTAAGTTTGGGAACCAAGGAATATAAATTAATCGTTAAAAATCCATTGGATAGAGAAACGGAAGATCATCACGACATTACGATCAACTGTCAAGATAAAGGATCTCCTCCTCTACATAGTGAAAGAAAATTTTCGATCAAAGTAATGGATGTTAATGATGAAAAACCGCAATTTTCTGAGGAAATGTTTAAATTCTGGATTGATGAGAATCAAAAGTCGAATTTTCCTGTTGGCTCAATTAATGCCACTGACCCTGACTTAGGGGCTGGTGGTCAGCTTACTTATTCTCTTCAGATCAATAACGATTATTTTCTACCTTTTCAAATTACTGACGATGGATTAATTTCAACTGTTATGCCTTTGGACTATGAATTCCAAGATGTTTACAAGTTTAAAGTTTTTGTAAAAGACAATGGAATACCTTCACTGAATAATACAGCTAATGTGATAGTTGAGGTCCGAGATGAAAATGATAACGCTCCATATTTCACATATCCCAGCATTAACCCTTTTACTTTAGATGTTCTCTACTACCCACATCACACAAATAACATCACAGTTCTGAAAGCATCTGACATTGACAGTCGGGAAAATGCCTTTTTAAGATATGAAATAACAGAAGGCAATGACAAGCAGTTGTTCACTATAAACCATTATACTGGTCTCTTGTCTTTTAGCCGTGTGGTCACTCAACAAGATGCTGGATCCTATGACCTTGAGTTTGTCGTGAAAGACAGTGGCACTCCAGTTCTATCTGCAAGTGTTGACATGATTTTGAAACTTACCGTGAGCAACAAGACATTGGAAATATTAAGTGCAAAACACATGAAAAGTGATAAACGTATAAATTTGGTATTAATGATTGTCATTGTTCTGGTGGCAGTTACAGTATCTGTATCCATCACAGCCGCCATGTCAATTTGCATTATTCGGTGCAAGGATCGGAGAAATGCTTCCCGCAGAGACGGAGTAAATGCTCCTTGCAAATGTATCACTGAACATGGACATTACACTTGTTCTTCGCAACAATCTACCTATTGGCCTGATGGCTCCGGAACCTCCAAGACTGATTCTGATTTATCAAGAACACATACAAGAGGCTCAAGGAGAGATGGATTTAGTGGAAAGAAAGCAATGGATGGTGGTGTGTATCAGGTGAGTAATAATCATGTATATATGTCTTGATTTTGTTTATGGTATGTTAAGGAATGAAATAAAAGTAAAGAGAAAGAACCGAAAAAAGATTTCTGCAGAACATATTATCTGGGCATGGTCAAGTGATTAGAACGTTTGATTCCAACCATATCAGACCCATGTTTGAATCTTATCATGGTCGATTTATCAGGAAGGAGACTTCTTGATATTATTGGTCTGTGGTAGTGATTTCAGAATGCAGCACCTTTTCTGAAAACCATAGCACAGTTTGACTGAAGCCTTGAGAGTGTAATTGGGTAGATGGAACTCTTTGGGAGCTGTTGAAGGTTGTGCCAGCATGAGGTCACAAGTCATCGTGACCGATGGTTTGAGTGTACTAGCCTTGATCACACCAGATAATATGCTCTTTCCCAGAAACTGTAACGAAAATCTACTCAGTATAAGCCACAGATACGTATGTGTGTTGAACAAACATAAATGTGCCTTATCAGGCATCTGCAACAGGGATTGGTTAGCAGCCCTAATAGACAAGCATACTCAGAGACGAGCAGCCAGCCACCATTATCCGAGAGGTTTCACTGTAGAACGATAACTGCTAAGTTAACAAGATAAGACAATAGGATAAAGCATTGCTATATTCTTACTATATATATCTGCTCTACCAAATTCTATCTCCTCATCTATATAGGCAGTCCATCTAAAGGAAGGAAAACACAGATTTTACACATCTGTTGTTTTGCAGTCATATCCAAAGTCAGAAAAAGCCTGGGGAAGTAAATCCAGACAGAAAACCTAGAGTGGAGCCCCAAAGGTAGCTGGTTATCAACATTCACAACTTTGAGGCAACTCCTAGCAAAGCCAGCCCCAAATGTAATATGCTGTATTCCCTTGGATCTTGTTGATACATGATTGATTGATTCATATTCTATGGCTTATCAACTCTTTGTAGGTTATTTAAAGTCAGAAAATATTTTAGATTGTAAGAATTTTTTATTTTAAAGATAATAATGGTTCAGTGATACAAGCCTTTCTAATTAACCCATATATATAAATTAGAATCAAATATGGATTAGTTGACCTATTATGATACACAAGAATCATACAAACAAATGATACCAAACAAAACAAATTACACATGAGTGTAAAACATGAAAAACAAGCACCACAAAATTAAAAAATACCAAAATTTTTTCTCATCCATATTTAATTTGATAAAGCTTAAATAAAAGCAAAACATGTTAAATTTTTAAAGATTTCCTATTTTTTCATATCATATCTATTTATCTCTCTCTATATATATATATATATATATATATATATATATATATATATATATATATATCCATCCTTCACTGATTATACTCTTACCACTTGAGGATTGTGACACATCAACATCTAACAGTCTAAATGAAACTTTAAATCATGGAAAGGAAAGGAGTATTGTTTTACTTGTTTTATATTGATTCTGTTTTGTATATTTTACATGAAGTATAGTTTTTATAGCCTCTCAGTTTGACTGTATTATACTATATATATATATATATATATATATATATATATATATATATATATATAGGCACATACACTAGTGTACATGTGCCATCAAAAATGATGGCAAGATGGAATGTATTATAATTAATATATATTATCTTGTAAGTAATTTTCATTTAATCCATTTTTTTTTGTAATCTTTTTCTGTGTAACAATTGAGGGGAAGTGTGAAAAATAATGATGACCCATCCATCCACATCCAGTTATATTTGTTTTTGAAAAGAAAAAAGAACTTTAGTTAAATAAAAATTATTAGAGACCGACATGAGTTATGGACATCATTAGTCATGTTAAATATTTGCTTTATGAATTTAACTATATTTTCTTTTCTTTTTAGGGTCAATTAGGAAGAAATAAATAAATATAATTTATGTACATATGTGAGAAACAGTAAAATTTTGTTATATGCTTTTGTGTTTTCTTTCAAAAACAAATATAAGTTGATTTTGTGCGGGTGGGTCATCATTTGTTTGAAAGAGTCAGTATGTGTGACAAGAGATAGTTAGAATTTACTTCTTACTGTGAACTGTGTTACCATTGTTTGAGAAGGTCTCTTTGTAGTTTTCAGTGCAGTAGGTTTTTTTGCATGTGAGGTCTTGACCTGTGTGTGTCTCATGTCAAAATTTTGCACACTGCCTCTCAAATATTAATGTTAATATGCCATATATATATATATATATATATATATGGCATATTATATTTAAGGATCTGACCTGTCTCACTACCCTCCTATTAATCTCCTACCACTCTTCAGTAAAGTCTTTGCAGCTTTAATCAATGTCAAAGTGGTTTACTTCACATAATTTGCTCTCTGACAAGCAATATGGTTTCTGCTTTGCCTGATCCACCGCTGACGTGCTTACAGTCATAACTGAATTTGTATACCAAGCACTTAACAATAATTGAGAAGTTTGAGCCATGGCTCTAAACATCTCTAAAGCATTTGATAGGTTTTGGCATGCTGGCCTTCTTTGTAAGCTTCAGGAATATGATATTCCAGGATTATTATTTGACTTAATACAATCATTCCTGTCAAACCATGAAATGAAGGTCATCCTAAACGGGTTCTCCTCCAGCTCCTTTATCATGAATGTTGGTGTTCCCCAAGGCTATATCTTCAGGCCCTACACTATTCCTGATCTTCATCAATGACCTTCCTGATGTCATCAGTTCCCAAATAGGCATCTATGCGGATGACACTACTATTTACTCCTGCCTCAATAGTAAATCTGGTATCGTTGACAAAACTAACCTGGCTGCTGATCTCAGGACCTCCAATTTCTGGTTGACTGGGGCAGGAAATGGTTTGTAAATTTTAATGCCTCCAAAACGAAACTGCTCTCCTTTACCCACCACAGAGAACCTTCTCTACCTCCCATCAGAATGGCTGATTCCCAACTCCTTGAGAGCGCCTCATTATGCCTGCTTGGTCTCATGCTGTCCACTGGCACGAGGTGGAATAAATACATTGAATCAATAGCTTCATCTAATGCAAGGAAAGTTGGTTCTCTGTGTCATGCCAGAAACTCTGAGTCCATCCTTCAAATCCATAAATCAACCATCCATTCTTGCATAGAATATTGCTGTCATATATGAACTGATGCCCTCGCTGTATGTCTCGAGGTCCTTGACAAAATCCAGAGATGAATATGCAATGTGATAGGTCCTGATCTGGCATCTAGTCTACAGTCGCTTTCTCACAGATGTACTGTGTCTTGCCTCTGTCTCTTTTACAAGTATTTTCATGGCAACTGTTCCGATGAGCTACTTTCGCTAAGTGAGCTACCAGGCTGGCATCTCAGTCCCACTCTTTCACTGTCAAAACGGTTAAATGTAACTGTCTCTTCAACTCAAACAGCTTTTTCTCTCACACTTCCCATCTGTAGAACTCCCTTCCCCTTGCTTGCTTCCCTGATGAATATGATCTTCAAATATTCAAGTGTACTGTCAATCGACATCTGATACCTTGATCTTGTTCTCCATCCTTATTTGTATCCTTTCCTCAAATAAGCCTCTTTACTCTTGTTCTCAATCCTCTGTAACCCCTTGAATGCTAGTGTCACTCCCACCTTGCTTGAGGTGAATTGCTTAAAAAAATATATATTCTGTGTATTTAGGCAGCAAAACAACCATCAATAAATAAAAACAATTATAATTTAAGAGCCTGCATCTTCAAATGTATATATATAAAAAAAAAACACACTAGATTATTTCAAATGTCCAGGATCTAGACAAAGAAATTCTAACTACCACACAGACACTACATTGGATATTATTTCTTCATAATGACTGTGAAAGTTGAAAGTACTTGAAAAAAAATAGCAAAATATGAGCTTTAGACAGTTTACTCACAATTTAAGTGCAATACTCAGTAGCTTATCTGAAAATTGGAAAAATACAATGAAAAATTAAACAGATAGACCTTGTCAGTTCTCTTTAATCAAATTTGTTTGTGTGTGTGTATATATATATATATATATATATATATATATATATATATATATATATATATATATATATAATGACAATGAATAATCTAAAATATTAAGCCCCCCACAAAAATGAACTGTGAATGGCCAGTTTCTTCCCTTCAGCCATCTTTTGAATACCACCAGTGGTTTACATATCTTGTCTGTATAATGAGTAGTAAAACATGGTCTAAATATTGTGTGAAATTGATGGTCACAATGCAGTTGAGATTTCAATGTCCACACTATCTGTTTATCTATCTATAAATAGATAGATAGATAGCGAGATAGAGATATATAGATATAGACAAAAAGAGGGAGAAGAAGAAAATAGCAAGAGAAATTTATAGATGAACATATAAATATTTATTGAACAATACTAATTTTGGCATGAAGCCATATTCATTCATCTTACAATGAGAAGCAAAATAATTATCAAAAACTCACAAGACCAGATAAAGGTACTAAAGCTGTGTGCACATATATGTATGTATGTATGTGTGCATGTATACACACATATAAATATTTATGTGTGTCTGTGTACATGACTATTGTCACTTTTTTGCAGAAGACTGTCTCTTCACTTGGTAGCTTCTTTTGTGTTTTTCATATGTATGTGTGTGCATGTATGTATGTATGTATGTATGTGTGTGTACACACATATATATATATATATATATATATGAACACCCTACTGAAAATGTTTCAGTCCAACCAAGAAGCCCTTCCTCAAAAATCTGATGATTAGTCATTTGGTCAGATCTAAGAGAACTGGGTTGGGCCTAGGAACTCCACCCACCATATGTGTGTGTGTTTCAGTGTCTTTGTGTGTGTAAACATGAAAATATATAATTATAATAATGTTTTATATTGATGAGTGCATACACAATTACAAGCACATACATGCACCCAGGCTTATAATCAATGTCTCTTTGATTGAGAAAACTAAATTCAAAGGTAGCAGTTTCCAATATACTGCTA